GCGGACGTGTCAATACCTATGTTCTTTGCTTATAGCATTGATAAATGGCCTCTTCACCATCGCTACAATTGGCTTGTGTAATATTCTGATGCAAGACTGGCAGGTGCAATCCTGTGCTCTTCTCGTGACCTTCCTTGCTCCTGTCGACTTCTCGACCTGTATCGGGAAGAACAGCGTCATCTTGCCTTTTATCCTGGTCTTCCAGGTTATCCTCTACCCTTCCGAATGAACCGCACGCTGATAGTTCTCGCCCTGGTGGCCGGCTTTGCTACCCTCACCATGGGCTTCTCTCCTGAGACGCTGAACGAGTACCCGGTAGCAGATGGCAACCCTGAGAGCAGGTTCTTTATCAGCACCAATGCTACCTCAGTTACAGTCGGTTACGCCTCCTTCATCCTCGGCATCACGAGCTTGCTTGTGCTGGGGGCCGTCCTTGCTCTTGCCTATTTTTACGCCACTGGTGAAGATTCTGGCAGCTACGGCTACTCTGGGTACTCTGGCAGCAGCGACTCCTCCTATGGATCACATGGCAGGAAAGCGTATGTAACGTCCATTTCGTCAGGGTATTGTAACAGAAGAGCGGTGTCTTCCTCATCCCGCCCTCCCTTAACTTCCCCGGCCCGGCATAACCTCCTATACAATCATAACCTTACCTCAACACCAGCATTTGTCCCAACAGAGATGCCCTGCCCTCACCCGCCCATCATCACCATTACCACCTGGCCCAACACCTATCTAAATCCCGACGGTGGCCCGGCAGGACACAGGCGCTGCGGTTCATTCTTATGCATGGTCAAAGATCTATATGGGACCCGTGAACAGCCTCTGCAAAAGGTCTGGTCACATAGCAAGACCTCTCATTGACTGACTGACCACTCATTCCTACCTCCTTCCTAATCTCACTTTTGGACACAATAGGTCACCAATAACATGAAAACAGTGCTTCGGCCAGACGCGTTCAGGTCTCGCAGGTTCCAGGGCACTGTACAGCCAGCTAGCCCAATAACTGAACGTGGCACCCCACTTTTACAGTGCAGTGACTTGCGGTAGACGCGAGAATGAACCGCACGCTCCTGCATGTTCTCGGAGCCCTGCTCCTCTCCTCCTGCGTCCTTGCATCCGACTACTACCCATATGCTGACCTGAACTTGGAACAGCCAGGGTCAAATCAAGAAGTTGAACCAAGGCTCTTCTTCATCTTTACCAATGCCTCCACCGGTTCATTTGTTACCTTCAACACCACCCTGCTCCTCTTCTCCGCCGGCATCTTGCTCTGGGGCATCGCCGGTGCCATTGCCCTCTATTACCTCCTGACCGCCCCCGCCGATACGGGCTACGGCTCT